TATAAATGCTATATACCAAAGTGTTACACTTTTTAGATTGTACCCTAGGCTATAGCATGGCGAAGAACTTAACGTCCACAAAAACATAGTGCACCTGTCAGTTGTAATTTCACTAGTCCCAAACCAAGACTCTGCATTTAAAGACAATCTGGTGCCAACCTATTTTGGAGCATTCTAGAGATAGCCAAATACTGAAGTATACCAACCATGTCAAAAATGTCAGTTCACACAGCAATATATAAGGCACTTATTGTGACCCAATGTCTTGCTGGCCTCTTTAGGGAGATGGGAAACTAAATACAGTTGCTAAGGTCTCTCCAATTTAAGCAGAGGAGCATAGCTGGTTGTAACATACCACTAGTAGACAGTATGTTGAAAGAGTCTTACTTACCAGTACAGCCTATCAGTTCGTCTGAAGACAGGAACGCACTAGAATTAAAAGGAACACTATAACAATAAGAATACAAAATGTTTATTCCCAATGCTGTAGTGCCCTAATCACTGTTTAGGTGACCTTGCCTTTTAAAAAAAAATAAATATATATATATTCTCTCTTTTTTTTTTTTTTTTAAAGTCTGTCTTTTCTCCCTTACAGCACTGGTCTCCAGCCAAGATCATCAAGGTCGATGATTTCAGCCAATCCAAAGCTTTCCCATAGGAAAGCATTGTGAGCCTGGTGCACATACACAGCAAAATGCCTCTAGGAGACCAGCTGACTGAGGCACCTGTATTAAGGGTCAGTATGATAGCTACTAGATTGAGGCAGGCTATCCCACGAATAAAGAAAATAAATATTGCCTTTCCTGCAGAATGGCAATGTTTTCACCTGCATGGTAAAGACAGGGGGGACATGGTACCTAGTCCACTTCATTAAGATAAAGGGACACTATTGGCACCCAGACCACGTTAACATTTTATTTACCTTTGTAGATTGAAGCATTCAAAAATGGCACTCTAAGCACAATGATACAACATGTTGTAGTGGTTATGGTGCAATGTATCCTCTGGTTCTGTGGCATGGTAGGAGGTAAAACCATTTTCAAATTCTTATTCCATGGATAACAGTCCAGAAGTAAATCCTGGATGGATCAGTTCGTTCAGATGTATATTGAATGTCAAGAGCATCTGCAATGCGACAGCTAATTTAGTGTAGTGGAACTGGAGCTAGAGGTTTCCTTCCTACCTCTTCTAAATCACAGACCTGTGACCGTGATGCAAGGAACATTGTGCATTGCAGAAGGCAGTGTGAACCCAACTCATGTCTGGGGGTTATTCAGGCGGTGTCTGAATAACCCACAAACGGAGTACAGCAGAAGGAAAGTTTGGTTGTGACAATTTACAATTCTTAATGCAAACTTTATAGATTAATAGTATTGTCCGCAGCTATTAAACTTTTTGCCCAATAGATGGCACTAGAAGATTAAAATGATTGGTAAGTTATAGAGCAGACTATGGGGTTAATGCACTAAACTCCACACTGTAGTGAACTGGAATCCAAATTGCCAAATTTCTACTTTGTAGAAGATTTTGCGTTTTCCATTTGAGGTCTACCCAATAGATGAATTCATGTGTAGAGTTACCCAAAATGCAAAGTTACCAGGAAATAGCAACAGGGGAGGATAAGTGGAATACCATGTTGGATGCCTCCTGGTGCGTTTAGCAAAAGAAGAAGTGAAATGCGTCCACCATAGTCCATTGTCTCATTCTCTCCCTTGCCTATTTATTTCTATTGGCATTATATTTGAAAATATTTTTAACTTTTTAGGATTGGAGAGCTTTTATTAGTTCTCGTGAGCTAAGTGTCAGTTGATTGCTCTCAGCCAATGACCAAAGCTCTGCACCAACATAGTGGGTGGCCTAATAGGGCACCAAAACCAGGATGGTGAACTTTAGTGGCAATGTTACTTTAAGTGTTCCTTTAAAGAATGGCTACAAAGTCTGCATAAGACATACCAAGATAGGGAGCAGAAAGGGTGGGGAGGGGGAGGAAATTAAAATCACTATTTAGTAGATAGTAGACCACAATTAATACATGCATGTAGACTTTGCAGGCCCTCCCCCATTTCCCCTGGAAGAGACTCAGTTTTGAGAAGGCTCTGAATCTGTGCACTCAGTGTGAGCAGCTGAAGTATACAGCACATCTGAAGCTTCCGTAAGCCCAGGTAAGCTAACAGAAGGAGGAAGCGATCCTCCCTGGCTTTCTGACTGACAGGGAGGGGTATCATAAGTTTAAGGCCTGTATTTGTGGGAGGAGTTAGCGTTCCTATATAAACACTACTCCCACCTTCCTACCTTGCCGGATACGCACGCTGTTCACCTCCCCTCGTCTAGCCGGACATCCGGTCCCTGACAGCACGGTTCTGGTCCCGTCATTCCTTTCTGCCTTCCCGCCAAGCAGCACCGTCGAAAAACTCAAAATTACCGAACGCCAGGTAATAGCCGCGTTCAGGCTATTCCCGCGGTTCGACTTTTATCATTCACCACTTACATGTTTCAAACATACGAACGCACGACATTTCGGCAAATTTATTTGTTTCAGTTTGGCTATTCCCGCCATTCAGCATATTTCATTGAATTTATGTGTATTAATGTGTTTATCATATTTCTCAATATTGTGACATTTTTTCAAATACCGATTAGATCACTCTTCTGTATCCAAAACCCTGACATTCACTTCTGACGGGAATCATTTCATACATAATAAACTAAGTAAAGTCCAATTTCACAGCTTTTCTCATGGAAATGCCCTTCTATGCAACATTTCTTTTGTCTTTTTTTCCCCCACTTCATGACAGTGGGATTTACTAAGGTGAAACGCCTGCAGGATCCCACTCCTGATTGCCAGCCCTGGAAGTAACACAAGCTTTACACACTGGCATTTCTCTCCTAAGTAAATCCTCCTTTTATAAAACTCCCATACTATAGTTGTAGGAAAGTGTTACCTTTTCAATTAAGAGGCTTGTTTAAATCCCATTTTAATGCCAAGAACGAGATATGAATTGATTACCAATGCTGGCAATCTAGGCAATAAATATTTCACTGTCCAAGTACAAATGTTCTAATATGTATGCATATGAACTTCAATTAACAAAGTGTATTGGCCATATATTTCCCTGTGACTGTAGAGAATGATCGATGTCACTTGATTCTGCTTCAGTGGGAAGGTGCCAGTGATCTTAACTACTTTATCCTCTATGTATTTCATTAATGTATTCCCAATCATATTCTGGGACTCCTGCAACGTTTCAATGTCACAGCCTGAATGCAGATATACACAGCTTCTCCTGTGTGAATCTGCTTTAATAACATGTTGCACAAAGACTGTGGCCAGCAATTTCAGGTCTCGCAAGAGCATTTACTACAACCCGGTTATTATTCCATTAATTTCCGTTTATCAGGTACTAATTAATCTTAATTCATGTTGCTATTTACTGCCTCTACAAGGCCACACAACACCATAAAGGGGTTACTAACATACGGGGAGCTTGATTTCTTGCCTTGCCACATCAGGCCACAGCTTCACTCGACTACTCATCATACGTTATCATCAACCCTCTGTTTCACAATAAACGTCCTGAACTCCTTTAATACCTCTCGTTCCTTCACCATTTTCCTTTCATCAATACTACCACGCTTTAATGCACAGTATTTTCAAAGATCGCCTTATAGGGGTATTACTGACGTTAAACCTGCTATACCTAGTTCCTTTCATTATTCTATCAATATGTTGTATCGTGTATTAACTGTTCCATCCGGCTAGGTTGTGTGAATCTTTAACAACATTGACCATTTTTATCATGGTCTATTCTGGTAATTAATTAATTATGGGTATGTAAATACAAAGGAACTGATAGCTATATAGCTGTTACCTGATAGAAGGGGGAATGTCTATTGTCTTTCACTTTGAGCCAAAACTGTTTGGAGTCCGTTCATTTAATTTCCTCCCTCTGGGTAAGATTGCCCCTACTTGAAGTCCAACATTATCACGTCAATATATTAAAACATTGGTGTCAGATGATTTACTCGGTTAAGTTTGACACGTTGCAATTAACCCCTTAATGCCATTACAGCGTTCTATGCCGTCCCGATTACTGACAGACACTCAGTCTTGTACCTCACCCAACTGACAAACACCCAAGCATAATCCACATTTCAACGTCCTCATCTGGACACCCAGCTATTAGGACTCGACAATAAGTTATCACCTAGAGCGTTATTCGCTTTCACTAAGAATACATACGACAGAGAAGTGACATTCTTCCAGGATTCAGTGGAACACATCCACATACACACTGTTCAAACTATAGTCTATTATAACACTTTTTTTTGCCACCTTTCATTCAAACCTTCATACAACACTATCACACTTTACCAGACATACAACACCACGTTCTGACAAGCCTTTCAAGCCATACCCCGTCTTTAATGCTTACCTTGGGACATCAAGGTATAAATAATGGGTTCATCACTTCACAACAACATACACGGATGGGAATTCCAGACAGTATCAGACTCCCTAGACAGCATCCGTACCACACAAACCCAGTCTTAAAACCTCTGGGCCTTTAACCTTCCAAGGGTTCCAGAGCCCTACAACGTCATGATCACAGCTAATCAGACTGGCAGACACTACCACATGGCACGCCAACATTCAAACCAGACAAGACACTTGCTCTACTATATAATCCCCTAACTACTTCTAAATGTGGTTATACATGCGTACTCCTTGCGTTAGATTAGGTTGGGACCCTAACATCCATTCAAATTAAGAACTGCATCCAGTAGCGGTACACATAATAAATTAGGTTCACTGGGAATCAGCTATGTTATACAGAACATTCCACAACTGTTAAGAGGTAAGGCAAACGAATATTATGTGATAATTATATTGCAATAAGTGTGGTTTTTTTTTGCATTTCCTTTTGCCCCCTTTTACAGGCCTACCCCTACGTCTGTTCCGGCACACCACACCGACTTAATTCCAATCACAAGGTATTTCACAGTATCGATATTAACCAACCACAATTTAATTATAAAAGAACCGACTTCTCATAGAAATAACCTAAAATAAAATTGGATATTGCTCACCTATAAAGCATCCTGAAGTGCTTTATGGATGTGGAGGGAATTTACAAGACAAAAATAGAAATTAGGCTTTTTGCATATGTGACCCACATTCACTATGGTTACAATAAAATCAGTTTCAACGAACAATACAGCATAAGGAATATAAACTGGTTTTCCTAAAGTTATATAGTGTTGTCCTCTGCATGTAGTTTAAGGTTCCTAACCAATCTAAATACAACATGGATAAAAGCATTTTCCCTTACCCCTCCGGTGACATCACACCACCACAGTGGAAGTGCCTGACAGTCACAAGATGTGGATTTAAAAGTGGACTTTGCAAAATTGAAATCACCGCTGTGGGTCCAGTGGCCAGAGGGGTCAGGAAAAGGAAAATCTTTACCTGAACCTGTCCCTCACATCTTCTCTTGGCGTGTCCACTGCTGAACTCTCAGGTATGCGCAAGACTACAGCACTGTGGTCTACGGAGGATCTTGTGAGATCCTTCCTAGACAGAGCCAATTACCTGCAGCCGTCACTGGTGATGGCTTGGGGGGATGAATTGACAAGTCTTGATGGTGGTAGCTCTGCCCAGTGTCAAGAAGGGTCAGGAGGAGAGAGAGAGAGAAAGACACAGAGCGCGCGAGCGCGCGAGCGAGAGCGAGAGAGACAGAGCGAGAGCGAGAGCGACAGAGCGAGAGCGAGAGCGACAGAGCGAGAGCGAGAGAGACAGAGCGAGAGCGAGAGACAGAGCGAGAGAGAGAGACAGAGCGAGAGAGTAAGAAAGTTGTCCCTTCTTTGCCTCAGTATATCGCTTGACTGGGTTGGAATTTCAGTGAGATCCCAACACAGTCAATATGAGTATTTCATAAAAATTGTGTATTTTTAAAGGGTGTGGTAGGGAGCTGTGTGACAGTGCTGCCTTAACCTTGCAAAGTAGACATTGCCATATCTTCTAAATGGAAGAGCTTTAAATTGTAAAGATAAAAAAAAAAAAAAAAAATACCTCCCAACATTTCATAAGTGACGTTAATCTTTTTAGGTGTAGCCAGGCAGAGCGGTTCTGAGAACTTTTAGGTGACTTACTGATAATTTATGCAACTAAAATGTAATTTAGAACGAGAACAATGTATTGCATTTACCCAGACTGGTTTTCGATGTATTTTATTTAAACAGACACGTTTTATTAACCATTTGAGTGTCAGAACTGAACCCAAAGCACTAAAATTCTGTTTTGCCACAATAGCACAGGCAATTTATGGGATACCATTGTTCTACCATACAGCATCTAGACTGATAGCACTGGGAGGATGTCGCATCATACAATTTGCTCCTAGTGACATCAACTATGATACATCAGTAAGAAGGAGCTGAAAAAGTTCCTTCATGATGCATTCATAGGCAGCTGCTCCTTTGTAGCCAATACGTGCTGGTTAGGGAACAGAATTTAATCTTTATTTAAGCTTATAGCTAGCCTTTCAAGCTATTTTATATAAAGTGCTTAGCTAGATAGCTCATGAGTTTACAAATCTAAAGCAGGCTTCCCCAAACTCCGGCCCTCCAGATGTTGCTGAACTACAACTCCCATGATTCTATGAATGAAATAGATAGGCTGAAAATCATGGAAGTTGTAGTTCAGCAACATCTGGAGGGCCGGAGTTTGGGGAAGCCTGATCTAAAGGATACAATAGGGAATTTGGAAGTGATGGCTAAAAGTAGCTAGAGAGTTGCTGCTATTTGTAAACTGTAAAGGGAATCTTGGCTGACTAGCTCTCACCAAGTCCCATTTCCACCCAGAGAAGGCCAAAAAGGTTTTCTGGACCTGCTGGCATTTTGGTTTGGATTGCCCTTGTGGGTGGGACCAGTCAGGTAAAAAATAATGCATGTATTATATAAAATTAATAATCTTTGGAACGTGAGCATGAAATATCCAAAGGACAAGCGAATAGAGATTTTGACCATTCTCTGTTCAGGTTCCCGTTTACATGACCCCATGGTCTTAGCAATCACCAAATAATATTAACTTGCCTTGTGCTGCTGGAAATGTTTTAATAAGTGCAGATTTATTCTGGATTCACTAAAATCAGAGTGGATTTGTAATTCTGAAATAATATTTTAGAAAGAATGACCACCTCACGATACAATGTATCCTCACGTTACACTAGATAGGAGAGCTGTACTTTATCTTGGTGGTCCCAGGAAAACTGTACGGTTTGTCTTTAGGATAGAATGCTGATAAAATCCTGTGGCATGAGTTAGCCGTGTGTGGATTAGTGCACTAAAATCATACAAGTACAAATGTATTCTTAATTGACTTGGAATATAGATTATACGGCTACATCCTCCATCAGGAACAGGGATCTTAGGCCATCACACACCATTTACAAATATAGTTTTCAATTAATGAAGTGTACTTTTGCGACTTTTATGGATGTTAGAGGACAAAAAAAATAAATAAATAATTTTTAAAATTGTTGTACCTGTTACAGTTACCAAAATGCTTAAAAAAAAATAAAAAATACCAGGACATAAGCAGGTAAAATATTGGAAAGATGACCACCACTTAGAAAGGTATCAATATAAAAAAATAAATAAATTTAAAACAAAAATACTTCTCTACTAATTATGTGAGAGAGCAACATGAAGAAAATGGCTTCTCTTAATATCGCTCTTTCAGCGAATAGCTTCCTAATTTGGTATCTTAATGTGGGATTGTCATATTGAAGGATTCCCAGTTAGGGCACTGTGTGCCACCATAGCTCCCTTACTTGGCAAATGGTAGAAAAATCAAATATACACAAAAACAGCTGGAATAACAGCAGACGGTCTTTTCTCCACAATTTTCCGACTTGAAAATGAGAAATTCCCTTCAGATGCCGGTTTAGAGAATAGCCCGGAGTCTTAAAGGTTTACCGCCACATCAGCTCCGGACAGCAAACGTTATATATGTGCTCATGCTAGGACATGCTTGCCTGTGCATTCTTTTAAATGAGATTTCAGTGATTTTCTTGAAGTGTCCATAGTTTCAGGACAAGTCCTGAGCAGATGAAAAGCACAGTCCACTACCATTTTCCCTTATTGGTGTGGACTCTGTTCTAGGTTTGCTAATGAATTGTAGTTTATTCTAGTAAGAGTAAAGAAATACCGTAAGTCATAATGACAGGAGGTGAATATTTTACTTAACTTTCTTTACTGCACCTCCACAGGACTGTGGACACTAACTCAAGTGTTTCAGATCTCAACACAAGTGTATTTAGCTAGTGTGTCAACAGAGCAGTTAGATAAAGTAAGACACAGCCCATACAAACAGAGCCAAAAAAAAGGAGGGGTGCTAGAATAGCTGGAAGCCTGGAACATATACATATTCCCTCAATTTAAAATCCTACAAACAGTTTGATCAACCTCTGTCGTAATGCCCTTATTAACTTGCGGTTTAGAGCATTAGGCTAGAAAACGGTTTCATAAGTGTCTCTCAAAAGGACCGAGACACTGTATATTGAGGCACTGAATGTTAGCACGTATTAAGAGCACACAGAGCAGATATTTATAAATTTATAGCCATCAGACACGCGAGCAATAAATGTAAAGCTGACTCTGCATTTATGGAGAGACAGATAAGGTGCATGAGTGAGCTCTAAAGTATGACTGAAAGATTTACAGGGATTAAGACTTCATAGAAACAGATACTATAAAGAAGGGGGGCGAGTTGGGGATTCAAAACAGTAAGCATCATATAAACAAACGTTCGATTTAGACATTCACTGGGAGTATCAGATGATAAAATAGAGACATTTTGTAGAAGAAGCACTCTGGATATGAAGGGTCTGCCAGTCCTCGAAGGCTCACACATAACATGAGGTCAAGACTACGTTTCATAATAAGTTAAAACGTGACCATTGTAAATTAACCCGGTGTGTCCCAATATGGTCTCCAATAGGATCAGGGTTAATCTGGTGGGTGTTTGGAGAAAGCAGTGCAGTATCTAATCCGGGGTAAATTCAGGTCAAGCCATGCATTTCACCCACCAGCACTCAGAGCGCGGAATCTCTAGCGCCCTCCAGGCATTACTCACAGCTCGCCAGACCCATGGGATGCACAGGACATCCGACCGCTAACTTTGTTTTCCAGAGTTCCATTGGAACGTTAAGTAACCACGCTCTCTGAGTGCAACGTCTGGGACTCGTTATGCATTATTCCTGGGTTCTTACCTTTTCCACTTGCTGATCCATTATCACAGGCACTAAAAACACCAGCAAAGTCCCGAAAGCAACAAGTAGGAAGCCGATGACCCCCAGGATTATGGATTTCTTATTGCTGGTCTTTGCCATGGCTCGTGGTGTATGTGTGGGCAGGGCAGGGGGGATGTAAACAGAGGGGCAGCTGTGCGTGCTGATAGCTGTCTGCTATGCTGCCGCCCGCTTGGATGTGCTCTGCCAGCTCAGGAGACATCATCTGGCCGAGTTTTATTATAAGGGGCAGGTAAGGGACCGCCCAAAGCCATGCTTAGTCTCTCCCATGACATGCTAGCAGCGCTCACCCCACTAGGGAGGCCTGCCTCACTCCAATGGTGGATGTCTATGTACAAGCCCCACCTGGAGGCGGTGGTTGGGAAGTCCTTCCCTGACAGTGCTATGGTTGTTGTTATTGCTGCTGACTCTGATGGGTAACGTAGTCCGGGCATGCATTGAGTAACGCAGTGGGTCATCATTACCCAAGTGGGGCATCATGTAATCAGATTGCAAGAGCTGCTCAGTACGGAAACGTGCTGGGATAATGCAAGCGTGAGCTGCGGTGGAAGCAGCAATGAGCAGTGAGTGCTACTGTGCATACTCATATTTGAACGGCAGATGGCGATGTTTTCACTACGTTTCGTAAGCGATTTATGCAACAAGCTAATCTTTTTAAATACTATCAGCAATAATAATGCATGTCTTGGAATCTAACAGGTCAAAGGACAGGTAAATATGTACATTATAAAGGATCCTGGTGTCATAGGAAAAGTACATTTTGACACTTTGCAATTTATTTTACCCAATATGCATAAACGAACCTGCATTCAGCTGAGATTATACTTTTAAAGGAACTCAATTTTATCACTCATTTTTAACAATGAAAGAAAAATGTCTAGGTGAAAATATATACTATAAATGAGTCTGTGATGTTACCATGACTCTGATTTCGATGAGGATATTAAATGTATAGATATACAGCAGAGTAAAAGTATAGTTTTATTACAAAGTAAATATCATATAAAACAACATAACTATCTAACAACTACACACACATAAACCAAATCCGCTATTATGGGCCAACAAAGAATTATAGTAGCAAGTATCAATTTAAAAATCTGTTCTCCTGGCACTATAGCTTCCCCCATTGTCAAGGCATCCCACCCCACACCCCCTTCCCTACTCCCTCCCTGAAGGGGTTAAAAACTACTTCTGTCACTTACCTGGGTTGAGCGGCGCTGGCGCTGACACAGGTCTGCTCTCTCTCTTCCCCCAATGGGGGATGGGTTACAGATAATAATAGGAGATACCAACAGGACACAGTTCCATACATTAAAACATATTGCAAACAGTAAAACACATTACATATATGGGGGAACACTTAGGGACTCCGCTCCTTGGGAAGGGAATAGGGTACACACATGAAACTTACATCCCTGGATAGCCCCTGGTCCCAGCTAAGATCCCTGCAAATAGCGGGGCTATCGGATGTACAGAGCTGAGAAACCATGAAGTCTGGGGCTCAAGGCTCTGTACATCCCAGAAATCAGTTCCACAGCGTCACTTGGTTTGGTCCGGTGAATTCAAACTTCGCGCCCAAACCAAGCAACAGCTAATCAGCTAAAAAGGGGCAAAACCAATTTGCGCCAATCAGTTCTCAGGGAGGAGAGGGGTTTCGCCACCCAATCAGGAGAGAAGGCGGGAAACTCGTGTACACCAATCAGCGCTCGGGGAGGAGAGGGATTTCGCTGCCCAATTAGGAAAAAAGGCACAAAACCCGTTTGAATGGGCACTCCTTCTCTGATGGGTTGCCTGCGCCCTGCAGCCACCAATCAGCGCTCACTCGTGCCGACCCATCTGGAGAATGGCGCAAACCCAGTTTAAATGGAAGCTCCTTCTCCTATTGGTCGGCATTGACTTCCAGGTGGCCAGCGGGACCTCTGTGGCTGTGAAGCCAACTCACAGCCCCAGGGATCCTGCTGGCCTCTCTCTGGTGGCTACCTCCACTTAGGCAGCCCCGGGGAGAGCGCTATTTGGGCATCTACGAGCCTGCCCTCATAGCTCATGGGTAGGGAGGACAGTAACTATAGCTCCATTAGGAGCAGGTAGGGCAAGCCCCGACACTGGGACCTGAATGTATGATATCTAGGAATGTGGGTTGTGTATGGCAGATGCCTAATATTAGAGGATTAATATTTCACACATTAATCACAAACTAATTATAAAAATATAATTTATTGTGACAATAATAATAATATATAACATGCGTGACAATAATCAGGGAATATTTAGGTATAACATATGTACACAATATGACAGTGGCAGTGGTTTAACACAATTTACAGATACCTAAATAGCAACAGTTATATGGACATGTATGCATGTAATAATACTTCACTTTGAAATCAGCGAGGCTATTTCTTACACAGCAACAGTTTGAAATTCCTTTACACAGAACACAGCATCTCCCAGCACAGATTAAAGCAAGAAAAATTATGTTTGGGCTGACAGTTAAATCAAACTGAGTTAACTTACTCACTGCTGGTTACAGTTCTCACAGGGAAAATACATTTTATATTGCAATGACAAATACAATAATTCTCATACCAGAACAGTTAACCATTCCTTCTCATCCAATGACAAATAAAAATAATTCTAACCAAATTTTACGTTTGCAGAATTGTAACTTTCCTAATTAAAGATGACTATCCCTAATCCAGATAAGTCAATATCTCTGGTTAATAGCTGATATGTTTTGGCAAATTACCAGTAAATATATTATTCGCTTATTCTTTCTGCAGTTGGGAATTTGGAACAATATATTTCATTAGCTAACTTTGATTTCATAATAGTTGAAATCTGACCAACCTTTTATCCAGATATATTTCTGTTTTAGTAAAAATGAATTAATTTAAATTAACTTAAATAAAACCAGCATAATTACCAGCTTCTTTTGTAGAATTTATTTTAGGCTTGGAGATATATCCCAGGAATTGTGAATGCTAGTATGAATGAGAATTGAAAATTTCAGAGTTCTGGATTTTAAAGAATTTCAAAGTTAAATGTTAGTTGGAAAAGAATACAGAGAGATAGATGTGTCCATCTTTGGTTCCAGATGTTAGATCCCAGCTCTCAGACTTTAGGTGTATGGTCCTAGATGTGAGATCTCCTCTCTCTGTCTATCCTAAATTTTTAAAGAGGCGACTAATTACTGCAATCAGTAGAGTAAGGCAGGAGTGTCTTTCCTACAGACTATCGTCTAGACTTTGGTCAGGATGGCGCAATTACATCACCACAAATTCTTGTGAGGATCATTTTGTATAATGGGTTAACTGAATCTCGTGATGCGTTTGACGTCATCTTGGCTATTTTTATGATTCCTATTAGTGAAAAATCTATCAGACTTCAAAACGTTTTGGTTAGTTTTTACCAGACTTACTGTCTGGTTTTGTGCTATTTAAATTAGTTTCTGACACGTGTAGCCTTAATTTCATCCTTCCTTACAATGGAACTTTGTATCAGATCCTTAATATTTAAAAAGTAAAATTAATTACTTAGTGTTATCTGTCATTGGTAATCCTGTGTCTGGTTTTCTTGTGTGAAGCTACATAGTTAGTAATGTGACAGCATGTGAGATATACACATCTCGTACACATTCAGTTATATTAGTTTAATAATATGACATTTCTTCATTGATATTCTACCCATGATATTCTACCCATGAATATTCTAATATTATTAACTTAGGTACTATTTATATATAATTAACATAGTATAGTTAGTCTGGGTAAAGAGTGTCTAATGTATATATATATTTGTGTCTGGATTGCTGCGTTTTCAACCCCCCCTACTGCTGCAGATATAAAATCTTGTAAGAGAATCTTATCTCTGGCCAGTGTTTACGTTAGATGCATTCCTCTGCTCAGGGCAGAATAGAGTTACAGAGAGAGAAAAAAAAGGTGTCTGTCTGTCTTTTTTTTTGTATTCTGTTACAAAATGGAGTCACCTCTGTTCTGGTGGTGCTTTACAGTATGTTTAATTTCTTTCTTAACACAAAATGTGTTGTGTAGATACCCTGACATTGTGCACAAAGGGACCGACGTGCGTTGCAACACTTAGCAGAGCGACTAAGCTCTGGAAGGAAGTGATATCCTCCTAGATACATAAAGGAGCCGCGTGGGAGAGATGAGGACAGGGCCGGCGTTTCCCTTGCATTTCGGGTAGTTAAAATTCTTTCAGCAGATCATAGGAGTTATGAGTGTAACCGCGCCTCTCCCAGTCCACAAACACTTAACTCCACCCCCCACAACTAACCCTGCCTTTCTCCGCCCCAAACATTATAACCCCGTCCACAGTCTGCCTCTTCCCCCTCCTCCCACGTTCCTGTCTCCAGAAACCTGGTGGTTTGAAGAGGAGGGCAGTGGGAGCTGCTGCTCCAACTGTCCTGTTTCTGATGAGAGTTACCAAGAAAGATTGGAAGCATGACAACAGAGGAGGTACCACAGTGACTGACTGGGCTGCTTCCAGTGACCCCAGCCACACCTGAGTATGTGTGTGTATGTTATAGGCAGTGTGTGTGTATTAGGCAGTGTGGTGTGAGCCGCCTCGCCACTGGACATTGGAGAGGCCTGGCTGCCTGCCTCCTACCTGCTGACTATGGCCCCTGGTAAATCTGTACTTTTGAATGCAATATTTGGGCATGTGGTGTTTTATATTGCTGCTACTGGCCCTTTAAGGGCCATCCGTGGACATATTATGACTGTTAGTAATAATGCCCTTTAAGACTGTGTAGCAGATTGCATTCAGGCTGTATTTAATATTATGTGTTCGGTAAACAGTGTTATGTATATGCAGCATTCCCCTGATTGTTCGGTAGAATCACTCCATTCATTATATTGAGTGAAACTACCGAACAACCAGACCACCCTGGAGTAAGTGTGCCTCCAATTACCGTTTGCAACAATGTTGCAAACGGGTAATTGGCAATCTATGTAATGTGTTCTTTGTCCTCTGGGTGGCCGCCATTCGGGAAACGAACACGTGGCGGCGGCCATCTTAAACTCCCGAACAGCAGTGTTTTGCCGTCGAGTGTCTGGAACTAAAATCGGACACTCGACTAGGCAAACACCGCTGAGACCTCTAGACTTCCATGAATTTGTGTGGAAACTACCGAATGACCCGCCGTTCAGTAGAAAGAATCCCATGAACAATTCCCTCCCCAGGCTCTGTAACCCAGGCAATTCGTGTGTTTCATTCCCTTTTCTGTGACCGACTGCAGGGCCAAAATACATGGAACTATTTTTGGATACTTTTGCCATGCAGTCGGTCAAAACTTTAACCCTCCATAATTCCCAAACCCCTGGTCCGATCTGGGTGATTTTTGGATATGTCTCTCACCCAGATCAGGGCTACCAGGGGATGTAACATTTAAAGGGGTATCCCTATGTTTAGGGGTACATCCAGTATCCCAGGGAATTTGTGTCTGGACTAATGGGATTATGTGTCACACTAAGGGGAGGAGATATGTTGGAGGTAACTGGTACACTATTGGCTGGGGTACTAATTGTTGTGGATCCCTCCCTTGCATGGGAGAATGTCTTAAAAGGAGGTTGTGTGAATAAATCTTCAGATTCTGCTTAACCCTCAAAACGAAGTGTCGTCTCGTTATTGGGGGAATTGGATTGTATGCTGACTGCCAGGAGTGTAA